CTTTTTCCCCAGCCCCCTGACCCTTGGAATGCTCATCCCAGGGCTGGGGTAATTAGCAAGAAGAGAATTAGTGTTTATATTTGCATTCACTGGAGAGGAAGGGATTACAAGAGAGTAAGCAGGCGCACAATGGGGAATACCCATCGAAAGGAATGCACTGGTGCCGGCTGTTTGCCTAGCATGCTTGGGGCTGGGAGCCCCAAGCATGCTAGGCAAACAGCTGGTGCTGGTGCATTCCTTTCAATGTGTATTCCCCATTGTGTATCTGCTTACTCTCTTATAATCCTTTCCTCTCCAATCTTTCTGCTCTGCGAGGAGGGGGAGAGAAAAAAAAAAACAGAGGCACAGGAGAGATTGCCTAAAGAGATCACTTATTTAGGCAATCTCTCCACTCTGCGAGGGGGAAAAAAGGAAAAAAAGGGTCAGGCATAGGACAACACATACTAATCGACTGTAATGATGAACACATGACTGAAAGACACTGAGAAGACCCTAAATGTGCGCCTTGATTGCAAAAATTTTTGGGCACCATCATAACTTTGAATGATTGCTGCACAAGGCAGTTGGTAAGCGAGGTCTACCTGTATATCATTCTGCTCTGTTCACAGTCACTCATGCCCTGGTCACCTCCCAAATGGACTACTATAACACGCTCTACATGGGGCTGCCCTTGAAGAGTATCTGGAAGTTTCAGCTGGTGCAAAAGGTGGTGGCACAGGCAGTTATGTGTGTCCCTAGATCGACACACATTACCCCTCTGCTCCATGAGCTGCATTAGTTGCCAGTTTGCTTCTGGGTCCAATTCAAGGTGCTGTTTTTGACCTTCAAAGCCCTATATGGCATGGGGCCAGGTTATCTGACGGACTGCCTCTTCCCTATTACATCTACCTGTCCCATCAGGTCTGGCAGGAGAGGAATGCTGTAGGTCCCATCTGTGAAGGAACTCCATCTGATGGGGCCTAGGAGGCAAGCCTTTTCGGTCATGGCACCCACCCTCTGGAACATTATCCCTCCTGGGTGAGGTTAGCACCAACTGTTATGGCCTTCCATAAAGCTCTCAAAATGGTTTTTTTTTTTTTTCAGCAAGCCTGAGGATACCAAGGTAATAGGGAGCCTGCACGCTGGTTATATGTAAACATCTTCCCTCTCATGGTCTTGTTTTATCCATGTTTGTTCTTTTAAGGGGTTTGCAAAATGTTTTAATTCTTGGTTTTACTGTACACCACCCAGAGTCACTTTGGGTGAAATGGGCGGCCATATAAATTTGACAAACGAATAAATTCTGGTTGTGTTCTTACAGTGTTGTGTGATAGAGCTGTATGGATAGTAGCACAGAACAGCCCATTCCAGATCAGGCCAATGTGATTTATGCTGACATGATTTCATCCTGGCTCTGGGATGGGAGGAAAGCATGGCAAAGTGACTACGTGGATGAGCCCAATTTCTTAGAAAGCCAAAATGCCTAATAATTCGAGTTTCACTTGGATATTTGTGCAAATATCTTTAGGAAGTCCATTTCTATTCTTCCTCAATAATTGTGATAGGTCTATCTTTGGGCTCACCCACAAAGCCACTTTCTTGTGCTTTTCCATAGTCACTGAGCCAGGAAGAAACTACGTTAGCATAAATCATGCTACTCTCTTGCAACCAAAGCAGCTTTGCAGAACAGGCAAATCGCTCAGTGACTGAATCAGAGGGGATGTTTTCACAGCAGACCTGCTAGGCCAATTAGAGCTTTCTGTCTTTCTTGGTTGCCATCTAGTTGTTGTCCTGATTTGTGCAGCCCAGGTGCAGTGCCTAGATAAATGTTGTTGAAGTTCTGGAGTTCAAGAGGGGATTTTGTAGAGTAAGGAAGATGACCTTGACAGAGATATGCAAGCGTTGTTGCCAAGGCATTAAGTGGTAAACTTATTTTAAGTCCACAACAGACTGGTTATATTCAGAAGAGGCTCAGACCGATACCTCCCTGATTCACTGAACTATAAGGAGGAGGACGTACAACATAATCAGACTTGCAAGATTGTTATTATAACCAATTTCAATAAAAATAGTTTTAGCCTTCCTGTGAGGTTGATTTCTTGGTCTGGTTTACTGAGTGGGGCTGACAGGTTTGCTTTCTGAAGCAGTGTCCCCTGTGTAAGTCAACATTCCCTTTAAAATGCAGCAAATATGTAGCTCTAGCAATCAAGGTTCTGATTGCTCTTGCAGCCCAACCAACATTGCACAACATGCACAGATGGGATGATTGGTGGGGGGCGGGGGTTGTGCCACAGCAGACCTGTTATGCCAGTGCTAGTTGGGGGGAGTTTGCTGACTGCAGGCTGCCTCAGCAGTGGGTTGGCAATGAGGAGGCAATGCATTGTGTACCCATCCTCTACAAACAATTAGTGAGACATCTTCCTGTCCCAACTTGCAGAATGTATGGATGAGCTCATGATCAAGAGAAGCATCCTGATAACTAGGTATGAGACTTTTAACCTGTTTCCTGTTTTAAAGAAATGTGTCCAAGTACAGGAATATTGCAGAGACCATTAAGATGGGCTTTATCCAGGAAAGATGAAACTAATAAAACTGTCAAGAAAATAATTTAATATTTTTCAACCAGAGATACAAGGAGAAACCCTCCTTGGAAAACAGCTGTCTGTCCATGAAAGCACAGTAAAGGCATGCTGGTGGTGGTGGTAGGGATTAGAAAGGAATATTGTATGTACTGTATGTACTGTGTGTATGTATTTTACCAAGTGTTCTGTTATTAATTAAATGGAGTCTCCATGTTTTCTTAACATTCCCCAAATGCCTTCAGATTTTATCCTTTTAAAAAAATACTGAGAATTCTGTGGTAGCAGAGCCTCCCCCTGTCCCTCCTGTGTTATAATACGCACTCTGGCATTACAGTGTTCTCTGTCTTAAGAAGCACAGGTGATAAAATCAGCTCATAAGAGAACCTATCATTTTGTGCCCATTCAGTCACTGTCATTTTGATGGACTGATAAGACAGACTTAGTAAACAGAAAACGCTAAAATATTCAACAATGCTCAGAGGCGTAAGATTGATCAAGTGGACTCTCATCTTGGAGGGGAAAATCCAACCCTTAACACACTCATTTGCAGTTGACATTCTTCCTGTGGAATGGTGGCTAGTCCCTATTGGTAGAGGCCTAGTAAGATCTTCTGCAACAAAACCAAATTATTTGGGCACGTGGCACAAAATCTTGTAACTATCTTTACCTGTCCCTGGCACTAAAATGATTCAGAATTATATTACCAGATTTAATAAACCCTAATTTGCTTCCTTTCATGGATCCCCTCCATGAAATCCAGAAGCAACTGTCTAGGGTGCTCAAATTGAGAAGACTGGTGGCATATACCACACACAAACCCTTTCTTTCATTTTATTGATAAGGCTGCCCCTAGCTTTGCTTTCTCTCATAACTTCAACAATTCCACAGATACTGATGCGTATTAGAACCGAAGTCAAGTTCCTATGAATGCCTGTTTTTTTGTTTGTTTGGAGGTGGGGGAGAATAATAAAATGAACAATGTTAATCCCTAATTAAAGTAACAGTCCTTTTACTTTTTTTCTCTTTCAACAGTCTCAGAACATGCTCTTTCTTACCCTTCTTTAGAATCTTTGTATTTCATATTTGTTAAAAGTTGAGAATTTCACTTTATGGTCAATTATTCTTGGAAGTTATTTGTACTTGTAAAAAAGTATTAACTGGCTGGAAATTGTAATCCCAATACATTTGAAAGGTACTGAATGGGGAAAGCTCTGGATAGAGTTCTACACAACTCAGGAGTCTATGTGAATTTTATTATTATACATTTATTACAATATGATAAATCCTGTGATGAGAAGCACTGTTTGAAGGAAATGCAGCAGTGCCTTGACAAGTCCATGTCTATTATAGGGTTAGTTCCTTGAAATTTAGTGAATGTGAACCACAATCATTACTGATGAAATTTTAGAAGGTATCTGTCTGTGCTGTTATACAATGGCATAGCTGCTATTTAATTCAAATGGACACAGAGTGCCACCTATTGCTTCCAGAGAGAAAGTTCAACCGTACCATCATTTTCTTGTGTCTTATTTCTATATCTTCAACATATCTTGAATCAATTACATGTTAATAAAGTCTGAAATATAAAAGGAACAGGACACAAAATGTTGCATGATTAATTTGGTATCCATTAATATTAATATTTTGTTTTAGTAAATAAATAGAAAACATAACTGGTATTTGAGGCATTGGGATAAATTGTAAAAGATTAATTCCTTTGGAGGAAATGTGGCTTTTGGGAGTAGATCTTAGAAAACTATTATCACGAGAGCACAAGGCACACTGTCTTAGTCAACCACTCTTTAAAAAAAAGTAGTGAGCAGAGAGACAAATCTTAATATGAATACTAGTTATATAATACAAATAGTCATATGCTCAGCTCATCATAGTTTACAACTGTAATTCTCTGAGGCGAGATGGCCAATAAAGTTGTCACTGTACTTCAATACAAAATATGTTGATTGGGATCCAAACTTATTCTATTGAAAGAGGACACACTAATATAATAAGAATTTAAGTCAGGCATAAGTAATTGAAATCCTTTTTAAAGTAATGATTCTATTCCCATTTCAACCTCAGTGATTATACTCTAATCTGGATTTAAATGATTTTTCATTGAGCAAAAACTTATACAATTGGGTCATCGAATTCTTATCCAAATAATATACAAATACTCTATTTTAAACAACACAATCTTTATTATAAAACATGGATCAATCCTTTGGAATAGGTAAAATGTATCAGGAAGAAAATGCCTGAACAATCATTACTTTAACAGGATCAGTTATAAGCCAATGAACGCACACCTTAACCCAAGCAAAAAGTTTATGCTCCTAGATCTTGTGAAGGCATGACTGATAGAACACATTCTAATGTAAGGATAATCTATTTCATTCCTCATGCTGAAATAAAATTTAAAAACAATTGCAAGTGTCATGGATTTACTTTAGAAAAAATAAACAGAATTTGGAATTCACCAGAGAAGCCAGTTTTAAGAAAGCAAATACTAAATGCATTCAAAAGGACTTCAAAATCCTAGATAATCTTGGTTTGTCTTGACATTTTGAAAGAGCAAAAAAGGCATTTCTGTATGTCTCTGTACTTCAGTACATTTCTCAATGGAATTCAAATTTGAAAAAGGTTTCGTGGGGTTAATCAACAGATGCATTTCCATTTTCTTTAAAAATCAAGCTTCCTGCTATATCAAAAATATTCTGGGTCTTGGGTTCTGGGAAAATTAAACTTTGGTATCAAGGGTGGCAGAGAAATGTTACTTTAAAGTCAGCAGAGCAGGGGTTTTCCAAATGACTGCACAGAACTAGAGCAGTTGCTACAATGGGAAGCTGAAGGTGGACTTTTTGAGGGGAGCGAGGGAAGGCTTGTCCTATTTCAAGAATATCCCATATTCCTACAATTCCATCTTCAGTATCAACTAGCTTGTTCCTAGTGTGACTCCTATATGGAATCTGATTTTTTGATAGAGATGAATGCCTACTGTACTCACAAGGCTTTCTGATGTCCTTACACCTAAGACATTTTGAGAGAGTGGTTCTGAATGTATTTATCAAGACGCTGACTGAGATCCCATGGCTGCTATATCTGAACAAAGAAATTCTTCTGGTATAAGACAGCTTCCCTTGTTATTTATCTGTTACAGTTTATGGTTGGATGCTCCTTTTACTATATTGTTGAAGTTAGGGAATTTCTCATGAATTCCTTAACCACAAAGAGCACTCGCAAACTATCCCACCACTCTTTAGAATGTCCTACATTTTTTAACCCTTTGTTGTACAGTTCATTCAGAGTTGCCCTCAGTCTAAATTAGTTGACTTCTGTAAAGTGAATCTTACATATGTAAAGTTGGTATATTGTTGGCCTGGAGTTAGTGGTTGTGATATGTGCTTATGTGTACTATTTATGTATATTATGCATATGTGTGTGTGCATATATGTACACATACAAACATAAGCTCACACAAAACCTAATACCTGCATTTTATATTTATTATCAGAAAAGGCCCCAAGTTATTAACCAAACGGCATTAGTTGTTGTATTTGGTTATTTGCAATAATCAGCTGGTTATACTGGACTTCATTTGTTACATGACTGAAAACAATTCTCAATTTTTTCTGCAGATACTGGCTGTGATTTGTAAATAAATAAATTGCTACTTGATGAATTTGAGAACTTAACTGTAATTTTTCAACAGCGCCATATTCATGTTATCCAGCCACAAATATTATATATTTCAGAGTCTTGGACACACTGCCAGTGAGGTTTGTGGGTAATCACCCCAAACCAAGCATTTCATAAACATTAGGAATCCACTGTTTTTTCTTCTATCTCTTGATTTTCCATAGTGGTATCAGAAGATGAAGCTTCTCCACCTTCAGCTCCTTTAATTAAAGAGAAGTGAACATGAGAAAAAGTATTAGCTTTACAAAGAAGGACTCAGTCAAAACATTCAGATCATTAGGAGTTTGGAAGAATTTTGCATTATATTTGCTTATTGTAATACTGGATGCCCAGAGTTCTACATAGAATTCAGAAAATATATGCAGCTTAGGAAAAAAAATAGGTATTTATTACGCAACAATTGAAAAAGTGGTGTGCTACCTGTCATTGTGGTGAAATTACAAATGAGGCAGCTTCTTGGCCTATGTGACTTCACATGAAGTTGGAAGGATCCTTAGAAAATTACTTAATAATATGATGCCTTAACAAAGAACATTTCTTAAAGGTATTCAAACAGTAAAACCCTTGATAAAATCAAAGCAAGGTAGTTTTTGAGTTTTAAAAGTATTACCTTCCGACATGGAGAGTTCTGCTAATTTGTGTGGCAGTTCTGACGTTCCAGCCCCAGCAGAAGAACCCAGAATGTCTGGTAAGGCATTTCGGCGCCCTGCCCGTCCTGACGCAGCAAAATCTGTGACTACAGGCTCAACATCAGTCATCTCTGACCTCTTTCCTCATAGCAACATCTCCTGAAAAACACCAAGAATTTCTCAGCTTCAACAGTCTGGTGGCCAAATACAAACCAATCTTGTTATTTAAGAGAAGAAGGCAGATTGTTTTCTGAAAACCAGGATGTCAGGAGAGGACTGAACCAACTCTTCCTTGGTAAACACTGACAGGTCTCAGCACATCAATGCTGAAACTTTATCCCAAGAATCTATTTCCCCTTTTCCCCCTTCTTCACTTTCCACATATTTTTTAACAGCATTCATGAACAGAACAAAGAGAAATATCCAGTGACTTCCTGCAACTCTACATATTTGAGTGAGCTGTTTCTTGCTATTTCCATATTGTTTTGCCAGTCAAGAAAAAGAACACTATTTCAGAGGAACATTTTAAAGATAAAAACAAATCCTTCCCAAAATTTGAAAATACTGCAAAAAGAAAGCTTTGTTTCAAAATGATGCCAAGTGGCAAAGTTATCGCTAACAGCAGGTACAACAGGGGCACAGGTTCTGTTATATGGTGGACTGATCTATGAGAGAAGGTTTCAGCTATCAGATATTCTTTTCTGCTAGCCAGGACACACTTTTTAACTGTTTCATTAGACAGGAAGAGAGATGTGTTAGTCTATGTCAGCCAAAAATCAGGAGGCTGGTAGCACATCTGACTAGCAGATTTTACTAAAAAGCATAAGCTGTTATGAATTACAGCTCACTCCATCAGATGCATGGAGTGGCTAAACTAACATAGGATTTAAATTGGGATGAGGCCAAGGGTAGGGAGGAGGGGAAGAGAAGTAGTTATGCAGACACAGGTTATATGCAAGACATATTGATTAACAACTGCAATATATTAAAACCCTATTGCGTTTGTTGAGACCTTTAGAGAGAGCCCGAAACCTTTTGATATATGTGAATTTCAGCAATCAATTGTGGTGTCAATGCCTCTTTTTTTCCAAAATGATCACTTTGAAATCTTGAAAACAGTATCCTAGGAGGTTGAAATGCTCTTGTATTATTTTATCCTTGTTTTGAATCCTGGTGTCAAACTTGTGTCCATTAATTCTTTTGCCCAAAGTTTGTCCTGTTTGTCTGATATAGAAGCCAGAGGGCCACCGCTGGGGCTGCCAGACCCCTTCTGATATTAGACAAGAGGGCTATTTTGCATAAATGCAAGTACAAGACAGAATTCCCTATCGTTTGCAGAGTTTATGCTAGATGGCTTGGTGCTGGGGACGGGGGAATACTTCCTCCAGGAATTTTAGGAATAAATTGAAATACAGCATGTTCTATATAAAACACAATGCTGTGGTCTCTAGAACTGCATTATAATAAATCAGGTATTTCATCCTGATATAGAAACAGGTTCACTTTCCAAGGGGGATCCTACCTTTAGATTTCCAATGTCCAGGAGGAGAAGGAACCGAATGATAGGGGGCTGTGCCAAGAGAGGCTAAATCCTCAGAACTGAACGTGCATTTTAGCTATCAGGAATAATTTCCCTCCATTTATTGTAATTCTATATACATTGTTTTGGCTCTTGTTTTAAATTAGAAATGGTAAATGTAAAAGTGGGGAAGAAACATCCTAGATACCTCTTTTCTTTTTTTGTGGCTTAGGAGTTGATTTGAAAACCAATGAAGATAGAATTGGTAAATGTTGCATTAACTGTTCTAAGTTCTCATGGGGGAAAGGAACTGAGAAGCTATAGATAAGATCAGGAAATAGCCTGACACTGTTCTGGATTTTATTTTATTTTTGCTATAAATTTGCTAACATTTGTTAGCCAGTGTCACAATAGCATGTTTTTCCTTTCTGAATTATGTTGGAATACAGGGGGGGGGGGGAGGGGGTTGCTTCAATGTTGCTAGTTTTGCCCAGAAACTCAGTTTAATTTAATGTAGACAATCTTATCAGTGTTTGCTCCTATTTTCAGAGGTTTTAGTTTTACCCAGATTATTTATGGTGCAATCAATCTGAAAAATCGTATTGTTAATCAACCCTTAAAATGAATCAGTTCAATCCCAGACTTAAATAAGTGATTCGTATTTTTTTCTGGACCTGTAATTATTTGGTATATGTAGAATGTGCAAATATGCAAAAAAAGTATTTTCCATGCCAAGTTATGAGTCATCAGGATAGATCAAACATTCACATTCCTTTATAAAATATAAATTATTTGTAAATGTTTCCAGGAGTCTTTTTGTTTCAAGAATACAGTGGAACCTCGGGTTATGAATTTAATTCGTTCCGTGACTCTGGCCACAACCTGAATTGGTCGCAACCCGAAGGAAATTTCCCCATAAAGTTCAATGTAATTACTGTTAATCCGTTCTGGCGTGGAGGACAGGGAGGCGGTTATTGCTTGGAGGGAGCGTCCCCCCCCCTACGACCACGTGTCAGGGGCGGAAAAATGGCTGCGGACCACGTCAGGGGCAGAAAAATGGCCGCGGAGGACGTGTCAGGGGCGGAAAAATGGCCATGGACCACGTGTCAGGGACGGAAAAATGGCTGCGGACCACGGGTTGGGCAGAAAATGGCCGCGGACCACGTGTCAGGGACGGAAAAATGGCCACGGACCACGTGTCAGGGGCGGAAAAATGGCCGCGGACCACGGGTTGGGCAGAAAATGGCCGCGGACCACGTGTCAGGGGCGGAAAAATGGGCGCGGGCCACGGGTTGGGCAGAAAA